ACCAGTGGTGGTGGTCTTGCAGGTAGACAACTTTCTGAAAGTCGAGCAACAACAGCTTCTGATCCACCGCTAACTTCATCAACTGATATCAATCAGTCGTCGTTTGTGCTGTCATCCACAATGAAAAAGACGCCCATCAACTCAAGTATCTTGTCCAATGACTATGCTAGTATCAGTTCGTTTGAAAGGACGAATATCAATGGTCAGTTCAGTGAGGATAAGCCAATTGTAAACGAGAGAGTAATTGTGAAATTGACTTGCACGAATAAAGGCATTTCTAGTTTCAAGTTATTATTTGAATGCTATTATCTTTGGTGTAAATTACTCTGTTTCTACACTTGGTTGATGAGATATGCCGTGTGTTTGTTCGTCATCTATATTCTACGATACAATGACATGGGCGTGTTGCCGTTCAGATTTGAGGATTTAGCTCGTAGAAGGAAGTCAGCAAATGAACTCTGCGACGATTTTCCAACCTAGAGCGTCAACCTGAGAAGAGTTGTAGGCGTACTGCTGTAAGTCCTACAGTTCTTCCAGGGTAGTTTGTCATACCGGAATCCACAACATTTGATGTAGTGATTGTACATATGTTTGTGTTAAATAGTTGTGTGAGTTTCAATTATCGCAATTGTTGGTTAATCTTGTTTGTGTCCGGACATTCCGCAAATTACAATCGTCAACCTGAGAAGGATTGTAGGCGTACTGGTGTAAGTCCTGCAATTCTTCAAAGGAATTCCACCAAGACATGATCGGCGAGGTTGTTTGTACTATTTGTACATATGTGTGGTGTGTCATATCAATTGGTGTATTTTGGATTCATTGTGTTTACTTGTTGTTTTCGTGTCTTGTTGTTATTGCGTAATTTTGTTAAAATTTTCGTCGTGATTACTTCTGAAGTTGTTTCGAGTCTTCTACATCCATGAATGAATTGATTGATGTTAAGGACAGCAGATGGGTCGTATACGCCGGGGAGGCTATTGCTGAGAATGAAATGCACACGGGGATAATTGTTAGCTGCGGTCCGACACGCCGGGGAGAAAGAGTGTAAACGGCTGAGGCTCGCATACATCACCGTTACTAGAACTGAGTCAGAATGAGTGACAAGCGATTTCAGTGGTAATTGGTAATGAGTAGATAAGAGGATGTGCGTAGAGTATCGTGAGGTGCTGCCATGGTCACTTTGCATTCTGCAAGAGTCATTCTAGTAAGTGGCGATTGTGTTGCAAGATGTCAAGAGGAGGTCTCTGTCTGGAGGCGCAGGTCGTCATCGATGTGTGAGATTGTGCTGTGGGTATGCTTGTGGTGTGTTGGTTTTTCTGTTTGTTTTCCATTTCAGCTCTGTCCGAGTGACCCAGGTTCTCGCACTGGCATCCAAGTCAAGGTGTATTGGTCGTGAAGGAAAAAAGGGTTGGATCCCTATTTTGGCGGAGAGTGTTTATGTAGCTGAAGATTGAATGATCATTTCATAGTTGTTTCCTCAAACCCACCTCCACACTTTGACAGGAGTCACAGATACTTCAGTCGTCGTTCCATCGTTCAATATAGGTGCAAGGATAGAGGATTGTTGAGTCTCCAATCTGTGTTCTATTTTTGCGTTGTTTATTGCACATTGTTGCTGTAGGTCTTCTAAGGACAGCGTTACGTCCTGTGTAGTTACACCTGGTCTTTTAAACTCAAGCTTCGCCTTTTGCATAACATTGTCAGTGGCATTAGCGGCTGATTGTGATGATGTGTCCAGCTTGCATTACTCTAAAAATGCATCTAAGTCTATGACTATATTTGCTTCACCATTGCGTTTACCAGGAAAAGCTCTATTATTTAAGGTTATTTTATTTTCGTGCGTGTCCGGAGCATTAGGTTTGTAGGGCGATAGAAACTTTTGTAGGAAGTTATGTGGTTAGATATATTTTTGTGACACTTGATACACTTTCACGTCTACGTCTTTGACATGGCGTTAGATCATGAGCAAGTTTAACGTTACCATAAGGTGTCGATGAACTAATAAGCTTGTTAAATGACTGGGACTTCCTAGCGCCATTAGGACTACTGAATTTAAACAGCGCGCGACAAGTATGCTTACCTGATTTTTTCTGAGTCTGATTAGGTGGCAATTTGATGATGGTATGCCACATGCTTGGAGACACGTCACTTTGATTTTATCCAGAGATATCCAATCAGGCAGATTGTATACTAGAACGTTGTAGGAAGACATTATTCCTTTAGCAACTTCATTCGCTCTAAAGTCTAATATACACTCAGACTTAGGCAGACTTTCCGGATTGATATCTTGAGTTAGGTAACAAAGAAGCAGTAATCGCCTAACGGTATCTGAAAATGTAGTTGAAGATTGAACGATCAATTCATGGTTGTTTGCTCAAAACCAACTTCCCCAATTCTTGCGGAGGCATCAATACGACAGTCATCGTCTCATCGGTCGCTGTTCAGAAAGAAGTCAGTAGAAAACCGTCAGAAGTAATCTTGTGATTTATTATTGTAATATTTGTTCACAGACCTTAGTGGTAACATTGTTTATATGTTGGTGAAACAATAAAGAATCCTCGAGTCACCAATTGGTGTTTTGGTTTTTCGTCCGTTATTACTGAGCGTTTCTGAGAAACTTCAAGGAACAGCGTGAGCCCGAGCGTAGCAAGAGCTGGGCATTAACGGTTTACGAGACGTGGCTGACAGTATCTATATTCTCATTGAGTTCCTTCACAGAGTATTTTGGAGAAACAACGTCCGACTTATTTTGTTAAGCAGTTGCGTACATCTCTGACAGTAAACGGGGTACAGTGACTCATCGTCCATTGTTGGGTGTGGTGATGTACGTATCTTCTTAGCCGGGTGACGTATGCTTTTTTTGCGCATAGAAAGTACTCGTTTGCTACGCCGTGCCATTGTTGATCAGTTATCAGCATGTTTTCAAGTAGAAGTTGAACAAAACCGAAAACAGGTGTATACACAAGTAGTATTCTGCGTGGACAAAAAATACTATAGACTCGGTATGGAATTTTATTGCTTATAAATGAACAATAAATAAACAAGAGTAATAAACCGTGAAATGCTGACTATAGAGAAACCAATTATCCTGCAAATTGATTCTGATATATAAACTACAAAATGATGAACTTCTGTATAGTTTCCTTTTGTGTTAGGTTATTCCTTAGTTGTAGAAAGGAGAGTGAGCCCTGGGTAAAGTGAGTCCAAACTTGATAGCTTGCGGTCATACACCTGAATAATTGAAGGCTGGGGTAGCATCCAACATAAGTTTTAGTTGAGGAGTGGTATAATATCCACCACAATATTCCAGAAATCGGTACGAATATATCCACGTAATCGGGAGAGATTGTAACGTCCGATCGGAATCGCACACAGCGGTGCCACATTCATATGTTGCAGAAAGTGGCGTGCATGTAGCTAGCGAGAAGGTAACGGTGATAGTAGAACCAAGAGTTGATGTGTTTCTAAGGTAAATGCCACGGTCTACATGAAAACTAGCATTCAAAGAGGGTTTGTTGCATCCGACACGATAAAAATGTGTCAGAATTCCCACATGACATCCGAAAGAAATTACAAGAGCGTAGGGTTACTTTCCTGGTGCCATTAGAAACTGGGAACTCCACAGGAACAGAAACAATATATGCATTAGATGAACATCGTGATACAGCTAAGTCAGACTTGAGTTGGCCACAGAAACTAAGTTGCCTCCGACGGAAGTACAGTATGTAAGTGATCCCGAGTGGCTCATGCCCAAAATCAGCAATTCCTTGGTGATTACACCATCCTCACATGGACTAGGAATTATAATTGCACCAACCGAGTCTCCTGCGATTATTAGAAGGTGAACTAAATAAGTGTTAAACAAAGCCGCCAGAAAGCTCATCTAAACGGCTTAGATAAGGACATGCGAATTCCCTAAGTTATTTGGGCATGGCGTTCACACCAATTTGAGGCACGATATTCGGCCGCTGTACCTATGTCGACACAGAATTTACACTTGAAGTTTGATCCTGACCAGTACAGGACTTCCAGTGACAATGCAGAATATGTTTGGAAGGCAGACATACAGGCACAACTAACCACAGAGGGTATAACAGTGATGAGACAGTAGACAGGAATCCTTTCCGGGTCAGGGATTTTTCAGCTGGTTCGAGACAAAATCTGAAAATATCCTCCTTCTTGTCCAACTCAACCCTCATATGTCTGTGGTTGTGAATATTCGGCACGAAGTTACTGCAACTATTGTTCCATATCCTAACAAAAATGATAAGAATTCCCTCACAGACGTTGAGTTGACAACCCACTTCTTCAGCTGAAGACCCCACTTTCAACTAATTCATTCATCTGTTTCAAAAACTTCACCATATTTTATCCATCGAGGAAGAATATAAAGCAGCCGTCAACAAAGAATTTACTAGTCACCAAAACTATTACTACTTTTCCGCTGTCTGAAACCAGTTTCACTTTACCGGGGTTCTTGGGATTTATTAGAGCGTGATATGGTATATCCTTTACTTTTAATCTGCTTCATAGCTTTAGAAAAATGCACACAGAAGTTTTTCTGACTCATGATGCAGCGTTCCAAATCTCGATGAACATTTCCAACTTCCAATGTAGAGAGACAATGAGGTGTCTCTGGTCAGAATATGTTCCTCACTGAACAACATCAGTCCCTTTCAAATCATGCACTTATATGACTTGATCGCGAATTTATAGTTATTTATGTCTTTCAACGGTCCTGTAGCATTTTATCTTCGCAAGATGAAATTTCAATTCTTTTAGAATGAGAGGAAAGTGTGTCTCTTAGACGATTTACACAATCTCATTCGTAACACATTAATATAATCAAAGTAGCGTCCACACAAATATCAGCAGTAAATCAGTTCCATAAACAAATTTCTTGACCATAATTCTTAATTTAGTGAATTAAATGCCTGGTTGGGTACTGCAGAATGGAACTAGATGGTTTGCATGTACACTGTTTTTGTTTGTTCTCACTCGGTACCGTCATTTTGCTCGACAATAGGAGATTGGCGGCAACTAGCTTGTCGCTCTACTCTCCAGAGTTGTACATCGCACAGAATTGTGTGAATGCAAAAAATACAATACAGTTAATAATTTTGATGAGGTTTGTAGCATTACAGTCATGAAATCACAAGGTCATATCAAGTAGGGTAATAAGTCTCAAGTACTAGGTTGCATGAAATTGTGTTTAGTGAACCGTTTCGATAGTTTGCCACTCTCTCTAGGTATATCTCTGTATTCTCAGCTTGTAGGCACTACGATAGATCACTAGTTTTTACGTACATAATCTCATTAGGCCGCATTTTTGTAAATTTCAGCCTTGTCTGTAACCAACTAATGGCTACTATCGATTTCGAAGAGGGAGAAGTGGAAGACGTTAGCGGGTCAGATCATGAGGACTCTGACCAAGAATATGAGGAACGTACCCCACCAAAGTATGACTTCATATTACTTAGTATGTATTTTCACAGAGTCGGTCTCCATAAGCATTCAAAACGGAGACGGCGTGGTGGAGGGAAGACTCGAAATCCCCATCGAGATTCTTCTGTATTAGCGGTTGACTACAAGGTCGATGCGTCACACATGGACTTGGGAAACGGTAGTCATAAGCGTCCAAGGGAGAAACTGCAGATACTTGAGTTTCTTTCTGAGAATGAAGATGAGACTGATTCAGTCGATCGCGAAAGAGTTGTAAGTTGCTCTAGTCACTGTATTATGTTAATGAAAGGATGACCGCAAACCCTCAAAAGTAAATCGGAAGAAGAAGAAACGGAAGAGAGATAGGCAACCTTCTCAGTCGAGATGTAAATATTTTATGGATGGTCGATGTAGCAAGGTTTGTACCTTCACTTAAGTTTAACCTGCACTAGGGAAGTTCTTGTCCATTTCTTCACGACGTCACTCCAACGAAGAAACATGAGTTGTGCAAGTTTTATGCTGTTGGTGTGTGCTCAAAAGAATCTTCGTGTTCCTATCTGCATGGTGAATTCCCGTGCAAGTTTTTTCACTTGACAAATGACTGTCATCATGGTGAAGAATGCAAATTCTCACACGCACCTCTCACAGATTTCACACGAAGCTTGTTAGAGAAGTTAGCTTCTAAGGTTAGCTTAACATTTATTGTCAACCAAATTTCATCAGCATAACACTGATCGCCCTTCAGTTAAATCTGGTCAAGTATGGCAAGCTGAGTTATCACAAGCATCTCTGAGTGGTCGGTCGTGGAACGATAATCATGGTGATATTGACTACAGATTCGATCAAAAATCCTTACAAATGTGAGTTAATGAGGCATGCTACTCAGTGATTTGTTCATTTCTTTGTCACTTTATTGTTGTTATTCGAGATATTTGCTCTCGTCTTCATTGCGTAGGTATACGTTTGAGGCTCTCGGTATGGATGTGCACATTAAATGTTTTATTCTTATGTTCAAAAAGTTCGTTACCCTACATTTTCTTAGGACTAAGTTGCGTGAAACCATGTTTTCGAGCGTGATGCCAAGTGGAGGCACCCATTATAAAAGCAGCAGTATATCCAGTGATATTTCAACCCTGGGTCCTACCGGCTGAGAATCAACAACCATTGTGTTACGCCTACGTCCTATGTGTCACTACCTTGTCTAACACGATTTTTCGTATGAAACAGCGGTAGGGTTGTATACTATGGCTTGTGTTCACACACTGTAATATGCTGAACAGTTGTGACTTGTCTTTCTTTGATAGTAAGTAATCCATACGCCAGTATCACGCACTAGGTACTCGTTTATCACAGTGTACTAAAGAAATACGTAGTCAGTTTATGTTGGTATACAACTATATTTTAGTGTATCTGTTTTGTTTAACGTCTTTCACTGATTTGCAATACTGTGTATTAACTGTGTAAAAAGGGGTATAACCGTTACCTGACCATCAGTCCATTTTTATAGACTATAGGCTTTCCTGCGAGATGCAACATGTATATGATCACTTCGGTCAGTGTAGGTGTTCGATATTTTTTTCCACATATTTACAAAACAAATAGCGATGTTGTTATGCTGGTCTACCGTGCAGTAAAGGTCTGTCTGTCTGGATTCAACATAGAACTTGGCACCGAAGTGCAGCAGTTCGAGTTGCCACCTTCCAAATAGCACACAGAGGTAGACAAGAAGATGAGTGAAGAGAATCAATAGAGTTTGACAAATATAAGAGTGAAACAGAATGGGTAATGGTAGAAAGGAATATGAAAGATTACAGAGATTGAATACATCTGCGCCATTGACAACGATTTTGAGCCATGTCACCTATTGTCTCCAGCCATTGATTCCTAGAGTCCCGAGGGCCCCAACCCGGGAGTCTGCATCTCCCTACCTGACTCAGTTTAACTGTCAAGGATTTCATGGATTGATGCCATGTTTTAGTTTGGCCACCACTGGCTCTTTTCCAACCTGAACCTATATCAGCTAACAATGTGCGACGGGGAAGGCGGTGGTTAGGCATGCGCACCACGTGACCTAGCCATCTTAGTCTATGTAACTTTATAACCTCGTCGATTGATTTTCCCTCTTTGCCCAACACTCTACGCCTAACGTCAACATTACTTATCTTGTGAAACCACCTAACGTGAGACAGAGATCGCAGACATCTATGATCGAAAGCAGTCAACCTTTTCATGTCTTCAACGCGTATTGGCCATGTTTCAGAGCCATAGAGAAGGACGGAGCGAACTGATGAGCAGTACACACGTCCCTTGGTTGATAACCGGATGTCACGCCTACGCCAGAGATGGTGTAAGTCAGCGAAAGCAGCTCGAGCTTTTCGGATCCGTGCTGAGATTTCATCGCCAATCAGTCCGTTGGTGCTAATACAACTTCCCAAGTAGGTGAAGTGGTCAACATGTTCTATCACTTCACTCCCTATCACTAAGTTAGGGGTTGACGTCGTCCAGTCCTGTAGCAGCATCTTACATTTTGCAGGGGCGAATCGCATGCCAAACATACGAAGATTGCTGCTCAAGGTGTTCAGAAGACTCTGCATTTTGTCAGCATCCTCCCCTAACAGGACTATGTCATCTGCATATTCTAAGTCCATTAGATTATTCCCTGGTAACAAGTCGATTCCTAAGTCACTACGTTCAGTTAAGGATACTTCCATTAGCATATCTATGATGAAGTTAAACAGAAATGGGGAAAGTGGACATCCCTGTCGGACACCACTGGTTGTTACCAATTCAGATGACAATTCCCCATAAGCCCTTACACGACTACGTGAGTTTGAATAGAGTGCCTTGATTAGTGCAATGTACTTTCTTGGCACTCCCTTCACAGTCAGACATTGCCATAGTACTTTTCGATCCACGGAGTCGAAGGCCGCCTTCAAGTCAAGAAATATGACAATTGTTGGACGCCGAAAAGTGTGTCTATGTTCTAGAATCTGTCGAAGAGTGAAGATATGATCTATGCACCCTCTACCTGGTCTAAAGCCTGCTTGATTTTCCCTTGTCTGTTCCTCCCGAGTTCTGCTTAGTCTATGCATGATTACTGAGCCTAGGATTTTAGAGACTATGTTCGTTAGGCTGATCCCCCTATGATTATCACACGAGGACTTGTTTCCCTTCTTGAATATCGGTATAATAAGTGACTTACCCCAGTCTGATGGTACTGTCTCTGATTCCCAGACTTTGCCTAGTACCTCAGTTAATCTACAAACTAGTATGTCACCCCCATATTTAAACACCTCCGGAATAATTCCGTCGGGTCCTGCCGCTTTGCCTCGTTTCAAATTACTGATAGCTTTTGTAACCTCACCTACAGACGGCGGACCAGTGTCTATATCCCATTCGGGTACGTGGTGGATGGCGGGGAGGTTCAGTGTGGCTGTAGGCAAGTTAAATTGTTCCTCAAAGTGTTCTTTCCAGCGTTCAAGGCGTCTATCCTGAGAGCTAATTAAGGAGCCATTTTTCTCAGAAATAGTCTCACTTATGAATTGCCTTTTCCCGCCCGATTCTGTGATGAGTCTAAAGAGTTGCCTAGTGTTGCCTATCGCCAATGCTTTTTCCATCTCTTTCGCCTTTGTCACCCACCACTGTTCACGGTCCTTGCGGAGACTTTTAGTAAGTTTCCTTTTGTGCAGCTTTCGCTCCTCATTGAATTCGGAGCTCGCCGGAATAAGTCTTCTAGCATCTATCAGTTCGGATGAGGCAGTCGAAATCCAGTGGTTTTTACTCACCTTTGGATTTGTCTTATTCACAGCTTTTACAGCTGTATCTATAGCTGACTGAATATTCTTCCAGGCTTCTCCAGGGTGAGCACAGCTGTCGATTCAGATATGCGTTTAGCTAGTTCTTCCTCAAATAGGGATTTAGTTTCCTGATCGAGCTGGGGACGTGATGGTTTTACCGCCAGCTGTTTCCTACGTCCGTTCAGTCGTAAGCACACACGAGCCCGGACCAGTGCGTGATCGGTATCTACACACGTGTTCCAGAAGGAGCGACAATCTCCTACCGACCCACGCCAACGATAGCTTATTGCTATGTGGTCTATTTGTGTCCAGCGTTGGTTTGATGATGGGGGTCGCCAGGTTAAACAGTGTCTCTCCTTGTGTTTAAAGTTAGTGCTTACAAGAAACAAATGATTATCTGAACAGAACTGTAGGAGACGGTCACCGTTGTCGGTTCGCTGGCACGGAACTCCATAGGTGCCACCGACATCCTTCTCAGATTGACACAATTTCCCTACTTGAGCGTTAAAGTCACCAGCTAGAACGACTATATCTGAGCGTTTAGCCTTTCTCACCAAACTAGACAGCTTTTGGTAGAACTCATCCTTCGTTTCATCCGAACTGCAGTCAGTGGGGGCGTAGGCGGAGATTACGAAAAGGCATCGGCGAGTAGTGCAGTCCTTTCTCCTTCTTACTGATCCGTTCAGACGGACAGCACACATTCGGCTATCTACTGGGATCCAGTCAAGCAATGTCTTTTCTGCCCTAGTACTCAGAGCTATCCCTACGCCAGCTAATCCCCGTGAACTAGCTGTGGCATCTCCTGACACCCTCAAGGTGAATTTTGAAGATTCATCCTGTTGGCCAGGTGGGGTTAGGTGAATAACCACACTTGGGTCTTGTATGCGTGTTTCTGAAACACAACATACATCAATGGCTCGAGATGCCAGGGTCTTAGCTAGTGATGCTTGTTGTCCTATTTGGCAAAGTGTCCTAACATTAAATGCTCCTATATGAAATTGGTGGCGTGGCTTTAGGAGACTATCCGTGGTGGTTTTTTGGCTTTCGTCGTTTTTAGTGGACACAGAGTGAAGAGGGAGTGAGGAGCCATCAAGTAGAGGAGTTGCATCAGTGGAGGAAGGCAAGGTAATAGAGATGAAGATGAAGACAAAGATAAGTGAGGATTAGAGAGGTTTTGTGTGCATTTCGGATTGTGAGGGCGATTGTTACTTCCCGGCTGCCCACACCGTGGAAGTTGGTTGCGTGACCGCAGAGCCCAGGGGACAACTGCTTGTGGCCGGTCACACGCGGCCTGTTTTTGTTCGTTCTTGTTGTTTTGTGTGCCTCAGTAGCATACTTATCACTCCCGCCCTGTGACACGGCAGCAGGAAGCGCGGTCGTTGTTAATCCGGGCCACGGCCGATCCGGCATGAAATTTTGTGAATTTGTTTGGATCATGGTATTGGATGAGGTAGCTGCTTTTTGTTTAACCGCTATCCAAACAACCTGCCTGGCATGGTAGAACCTCAAGAGACATAAGTCTCAGCCAGTATAGCTTGATTAGGTCATTGCGGTGTTCAAGCCCGACCACCACGTCAAGGTAGCAGCTTTCGGTCGGGTGCTATGCAGGCCCCACACAAGCATTGGTTTCCCAGCTTCATTACATACCTCATCGTTTTGTGATTTACTACACATTGTTTCGCATTTTCTGTAGTACTATATTCTTTGATTTTTTTTTAATTTAATGTTGTTGCATTAGTTATTTCCCGAAAATGTATCACCAGTTTTGTAAGTTAAGCTTATCCTTATTGGAGATGTATTCTTCAAGGACTCATTCCTGAGGTGCTTGACCACGTTGTGACTCACGTATGCATGAATTAAAGCCTGACTTTATACCTTCGTTCAATGTTTTTTGCTATCTCTATTCTTGTTCTTGTCGATTCCAAAGTTCAAACGAAATGCATGAACAGCAGTATATCGCTTAACCATTCGCGTAGTCACAGGTCTAGGCACTTCGGATTCATCGACAGCAACTGCCTAGTAAGGTCAATCTTAGTTCTTAATTAGGTACATACACTAGAGCCCAATTGTACTGGATTTTATGGGAATCAATTTCTAAACTTTAATTTGTATTGCTTTTCATCGTCAAATTTAGTGCGTTAGTTGGGGTAAGGTGAGACTAATATCTTCATCCAACTTGTTACTGTTAAATTGTTTTCATCATTATATAATAACTGAGTCATCATCAGATATCGTAACAGTAACCCTTCCATCCAGTTGTGCTTTATGTGTACACCACAATTAGTAGTGTTGAACAGTATGATGACAAGTCAAATTTAAATTTAGTTGTCGTCAGCCAAGTTACTAATCTATGCAGGTCTTTGGGAAGTTGCAGATTGTTGACTCTAAAACTAACAGTTTAAGTGTCAGAGAGTATACCCTCTTGCTTGACCTGTATGTTTTCTGTCTGTCAATTTCCAAGGATGCATGACCCATCGACGGAAAAAAACCGAGCCTTTGCTACAAACACTACATACTTGGTCTTGAGCAACAATGTAGTATCGAAAGTGTAGGTCATAGCTCAGTAGATATACTACTTGCTCATAAGCCGACGGTCCTCTACAAGACATCGAAAACCTATTACCGATGTCTGAATATATATGGTCAAAACAATATATGCTAAGCCTACTTATTCATGTTACTAGTTTCTACGGGTCTGAAGTTCAACCGAAACGGGACGTAACGCTAAGAGAATTATTCACTCTTTTCATGAGCTCAGTGATTTTTGTTATCAAGATAACCAAATCCAATTGTTGTGAGTTTTAGGCGATAAAATACATTTACGGTCCATTGGCTTTGACACTCAATGCTTAACTAATGGGCTCATAGGTAAGAACTTCATCATTAGGGTACTATAGCAAAGCCTCATAAATAAACAAGGAGTAGGAGTTATGATTCTATTCATCGGTGACTTGATTAATGGTCACGTGTGTACATCCGTCACACATCCAGTCACATCCCCAGCAGTTATCCATTGATTTAAAATGACACTGATTACATTATTCATCTAATGAACGCTGCGTGTATCATGTTTATTGTCAACACAAGAACTGTTTTACACCTGGTAGATAGGATCACGCTAGAATTTTGTATAACACTCGCATATGTTAGTCAGTTCTAAACGTTGTTTTTGTATGTTAAGACGTGAGAGGAAAATCACAGGTGGTCAGTTTTCGATTTGTTAGTAAGTCTAGTACGCTAGCACGTAGGATATTATTCAATTCTTTGTCTGAAGGCTTTTACTACTTTCATCTATAAGGTTGATATATATTCATTGGAATTGATTTAAGTTTTAATTGTCCGTTTTCAACATTAAATCGAATCTAAGTAAGTAGTTCCCAGCCCTTCTATCCGTTTGACTATTTTAACTGTAGTAAATTAATTCAAATAGTATTAGATATCTTGCTATTTTATTACATTTACCAGCCAATCACGTAATTTCGAAATGAAAAAGTAGCATCAAAGTATCTTTCATTCATACATTTTATCTATACAGGATGTGATTTTTAAAGTCTACGCGGAAAACACGTGATTTTTACTGATCTCTGTGTCAGCGTAAAGCACTTGTAGCTGAACTGATATACAGACTCTGAAGCAGCATATCAACGTTTGAGCATCTTTTGTTAACCCTTGTTAATCAATAACTTTCTCCTGTCTACTTGCTTTAGAGGTACATCCGACAAAGAACTTATCAATCCTGGATTCAACCCCCAACGTATGCCTTCCTTAGCTCCAAATCTCTTTGCTCCTATCTGCGCACCTGGTCCTCGCCCATTTCGACCGGAACATGACCTTGTACGCGTTCGAGGAATGCGTCCATTCAACATGATTCCCGGAGAGCAGATGCCCCCAATTGTTTATCCGAAAGATGAACGATGTTTTCCGCCACCTAATCCCTATGGTCCTATAACATTTCCACCACAACATACCATGCCAACCGCGGCATGTGCCCCTACAGTTAACGGATTCAGGCCTCCATCACTGCTTGATACGCCGCCGAGATGTCCTCAGCCGCGAACAATGTTGCCACGATCACGTATGATGGACCCAGGAAACGTCAGATTTCCTCGATTCCGACCTAGAGGTGAAACACTTTGCCCCCTTGGCATCAGGCCACCCATGAGACCTATTTTCAATTCATTGCAGGAGGAAGATATTGTGAGTTCTGAATTAGATAAGATGGCAGCTCTTCTCGCTTCAAGTAAACCTATAAACGATGAACGTAAAGATGATTCAGCTGTTCCGCCTACGTCACCTTTGGGTATAAATGATCCCCAGCAACGTGAAAATGTAAGTCCACAGCAGGTAAGTATTGTAAGTGATAGCTTGGAAATATCAGTTAGTATTAAATAGGAATAGCAGATAGTTATATGTTTAATCCATACAACCATTGGTAGAAATGATGACAACAAGCAACTAACGCTTGTGGTCCCCATAAATCCATTATGTATAATATGAAGCGCCTCAAATTTAAGTTTCCCTGTACTGTACATTCTTTTAAGCAAGTTGTTCGATTAGCTCAATGAGTGTACCAGCTATGGTGCCTTAAGAGATTCCAAAAATTAAAGGATTACTTTATCGTATATTGTTGTCATTATTTCGTAATAAATTTTCTCTGTTCCTCGCCATTTCAGTCCTCATTTGAAAATGAAACAGATGCACTCGCTCCTGATGACCCGGTTGACGATACAGCCGTGCCGGAGCCTGCTGCGAGTGCGCAGCTTTCTATGGCTTCACCTCAGGGTCCAATACCTTGGCGACTCATCCCCTTGGACATGTCTGTTAAAATCCCTTATCCGTTAATGCAACTACCCATAAGTGAGCTGCCGTACCGTTTTGAAGACCCAAGACTACGCGGTCAGTTAGCCACGCTCCGGCCACAACCTCAGTCAAGGCTTTCTTCAAATAGTGATTCAGAAAATCCAAAGCACAATGATCACTCGGAACCACACATTCAAAATGAAACTAACCCCAGTGGAAACACTGATGATAGCTCAAGTACTTCTACAAACAGACGACCTGTCAAGCTACAGCTGCACGAAATGGCCAATACTTTTGCAAACAGCTCAACAGAACATTTAAATCCTTCTGGTCGACAAGGTGATCGTTCCTACCTCGATGATCCTCGGTTCCGCAGACGAAGAATCATGACATCATCATCAACAACCCTACCAACTAACACTGTTAACCAATGTAACTCAAACAATGCAATGCAAACCGCACAAGAATGCTCAGATTAAAATCCAAAATCTCACTCAAGCACTTTATTGTGCATGTAAATGATTCCTGGCTTTTATTAATTCAAATACTTTATTTAAAAAAAACATCAGCGTGTACATAAATAAAACAAGGTTTGAACAGATCAACTTCGAACAAATTTCAGCTGACATTTTTACGCGAATTAAGTACATTTAAGCGTCGAAGCTCCCATATTGACTGTTCCATTTCAGATATTGTTCCAAATCATCGGACGAAACGCTGGCTCGTACTTGCCTGAAAGCGGCATAGAAGTCAGCAAGTTCTACAGGTCTAACCTAAAAGTAAAGTTAGAGGTGCTTAAATGTGTTTGTGTAACAGAATATGGATGTGGCAGTGCATGCTATTTAGCATGTCACAGCTTTCACTTCTAATGAAACTAAGAGCCAGTCACGATTTGTATAAACATAAGCTTACCTCTTCACAGGCTATCTGCTGTATCGCTTCGATGGTCAAAGAGCGTATCGGTCCCATCGCAGCTTCGCGACAAAGATTCGCCATATCAGCACCCGAATAACCTTTTACAACCAAAAAGATAGGTTAGTACACATTAGATATTGTAATCATAAAACTATTAAGATACAGGTATAGAAAAACAACGAAGGAAGTAATAATACTGAGTTAATACTTACCATCAGCGCGATCAGCAATGTCCCAAAAATCGGCTTCATTCAGTGTGTGATGATTTTGTCGCAATAGCCTCTGCACAATTTCCTTTCGTGCATTCCTGTTTGGTAACGGGATATACAAACGCTTGACAAATCGTCGTCTAGCTGCCTCATCCAGTTCTTGCGGCCTATAAGTTTAGGAGTAGAAGTTACTTGAAAAGATAATCTACTTTGTTTTTGAGACTAAAAGCGATTACAGAACGCGAGTGAGTTTACAATCAATGGCTTTTTATGCTTAACTCGCTATTTTTATTGTTTTAGGGTGATGACAGAAAGTGGTAGATCATTAGCAAGTACGTAGCAGAAACTACTACTCATATAAAAGACTACAACGATATAATGGGAATATTTGATGATTTAAAAGATGTGCTTATAGAGATTTGTTGAAGGCGACATTCTGACAGCAAATAGAGTGACGTCACTGCACTTGGTAAAAGTGGTCGCAAAGCATTAAAAATAAATCAAACATTTTTCTCAACGTGCTAATGAAAACTGTGTTTATCTAATAATACTTATAAAGAAGCAATAAGGAGCAAAATAATACCTGTTTGTGGCGCCAATGAAAAGGATGCGTTCATTTTCACCAGTCGATACCCCATCCTGAAAATAAGATATTACTACTAAGTACATTTCGAGGAAATGAAATACGCCTATGAAGTATCTCAGCATGAGAACTCACCAACTGTACGAGGAACTCGGTCTTTATGCGTCTACTTGATTCATGTTCTGTCTCAGACCGCTGGGTGAGCAGGGAATCAACTTCGTCGATGAAGATAACCGCAGGTTGGTGAATACGGGCAATCGCAAACAGTGCACGAACCATCTTTTCACCTTCACCAACCTACCATAGAAGAAATTTGATTACAGGAATAAAAATAGGAAAACATGTACACCCAGTTTTTATCGGCATGATTTCTATCCTCTACCTACATAAGTTATAGATGATATAAACACTGGCAGATACTTCAGCAAAATGCTGTATGTATATACATATTAAGACAGTTGTACAAAATGAACAGTAAGTCCTTACCCATTTTGAAGTTAATGACGATGCGCTGATACTGAAAAATGTCGAGTTGCTTTGCGAAGCGATACATTTACCTAGATACACAAAAAAAAATAATTTTTTTATCACTCAAGGTCGTGTTAATTTAAATTTTTATGGCAATCTGATTGAACCTAACTAAAAACCTCAAAGTAAGCTTGCTAATTTATGTAAGCAACCTTGAAGAGTAAGTTGAACTCAGAAGCCAGTGCCTAGATTTTGTTTGGTGGGATGTAACAACACTTTAGTAACTATACAAATGTTAACAACAACTCACCAATCAAAGTCTTTCCGGTTCCCGGCGGGCCGAAGAGAAGCAAACCTTTTGGAGGTCCTCGAAGTCCTACAAAAAGATCACTGGGTTGAAAAAAGCATCAAATTAGTTAAAAGAGGATCTCGATAAGAATCCAGTGATATTCAGAAACATTACAACAATCTTACTTAGTTTGAGGTAGAGAAGCGGATATGGGTGTACTTTGTGGTAGCGTTATCATATCACAGTTTTTACGAAAACGTTCGTACGCAGTAATGTCAGTGATGTGTGTTGTTATAAATAGACAACGTATTCTGAGTGGGTGAAGTTATTAGTGTCTCGGAAATAAACTTTTCTAAAGAAAACCGTGGCAAATTTTTTATTTGAACCGTGTCTCTTTCAAGTGACTCTATTCTAATGCAACCCCAACCATATGAAAATGGTCCACTGGATAGCTACCAACATAAAAACATAACTCAGGTTTTTAGGAGGAGGGGAGGGTGTTACGACGTTGACAGTTCAGTGGGTGAGCCCCGCTTGGCTGCTCTTGGGAAAGTGTGGACTAATTCAAAATTCCAAAGGAGAGATCTGGGATAGTAAATCGTAAGACCTTATGTCATGCTTTTCACTTCAGTAATTGTCAGAACACTGACAACGTTGAAATGTTAAACATTCTCCGTGAAAAAGTACTCAGACAAACAATGAATTTAGGACAAAACCATCAAGAGTTGGAGTTAGTTTTTCTTTCCTCACTAAGTAGTAGATATAATGGGGAATGCGTCTTTAACACCTGTTAGGCAGGTGATACAAAGTTTGAGTTTTTTACATCAATAACATTAGTGCACACGGGAATCAGCTTTATATTAATGTAGGTTTTCTATCACATTTCCGAAAGTCTATTAAACTATGAAAAAAGCAGGTATGTGTATGACAGGGTTATTTACGAAACTTTTTGTAGTGTGCTCACTTGAAGATTGGATACTAAGTAGAGATTTCAGTAACTATCATACAATTAAACATACTTTGGCTTTTAGTATTACTGTTAGAGTTAGTGGTAAGTATAGTCATTTTCTTACTCTAGCATGTACCGAAAGAGTACATGTGAATCTTTTGATTTATATTTCGATAATAATTTGTCGACACATTTACACTAATTATATGTTGTCAATATCAAACCCAATATGGAATTTAGTTTCGTGCTGTATTAGTAAAACACTTCAGAAATGAATAAATCACACAAGACTTACGGTCTGAGCATTGGAAGTATTACAATTTCTTGTAATGTTTTCTTGGAAAATTCAAGTCCAGCAATATCATCCCAAGTAATTGAACTTTTGGACTCCATAATCTATAGGGAACACAGTATTATTTTATGTCTAAATAACCAGCATGTTTTTGTTTTCCATAGATGTGCTACATTTATTGCGCATAGTCATTAAACCTAATCAGTACTTCTGGTTCAGAATGATTAAACTGAGATTTAATAATAATAGCGTATGGAAATAAATACGGAGTCGAAATGTTCAAACATAAAAACATTTTAGTTATATCACTATTCAGTGGTAATGTGTAATTCTACTGTCCATTTAATTGGAAGCATGGTCATTAATTTAAACAATATGAAAGCGTCATTTTAATGCGTACAGGCAGTTGTGGAAAAGTACTCAACGTAGCTTATTTTACGCAATTGGCCACGTAAATTAAAGTGAAAAGCGCTAGCACATTATCAAGTCCCTAAATAATTACTCCCTTCATGTGAGTCGTTTTCAAAAGAATACCATTTTCACAAATCAAGGAGAATATGATAAAATAGTAGTGCCACTTTCATTAAATTTGGCTACTACTTATGCAATTTTGAATTCATATTATACTTTGATTAGCCAAGAATTTAAAAATGCCACTTGTATTCCCTTTTAGATTTGTCAGCCTTGTAATTCACTTTCAACTGCTCTTAATTCAGTTATAGAAGTAATCTGTGTAACTTAAAATTATCTGGAAATAGAGAACTTTGATAGTACTACATTTCCAGGTCTCAGAAACACTTGAAGGCAAGAAAAAGTAAGAGAACCGATCAGATTTCAGCTCACATCTAAAATGATGTAGACGGTTTGATGGTTAAAGAGATGCAGTGGCTGTTACTGACGAAGTTAACATATGACTTTCGTGATAATTTTTATAAAAAGTCTGGGAAAACGGCTTACTTTCATCAGATTTTATACGTTCAATACACTGAGGATATGGTTCTTAAATCAATAAGAAAAATAATATTTATCAAAGCAAGGAGGAAGAGACTTGCAGTACAAAATATGTACATTTTGGCTCGAGGCTTACCTTCAATATCAGATACACTGAAACACAGTGTTAACGAAATAAACAACTTCAAAAATCCCATTGAATCATATAGGAGAAAAGACGCTGGGCGGAGAGTTACTCTCTTCAGCGATATCATTCACAAGTTCTGTACAACCGCATATATATATATATATATATATATATATATATATATATAGCAAATTGCATAATATAAATGGTATTAACTGTGTAGGAACTAAAATTAAATAAGTAAATTGGATGACGTAATATAATTGACGGGGTTGAATAGGAATCAAGTAAAACTGAACGGGAGTCAAGTGAACAGCAGTGGTAATAAGGGGAAAATTCTTAGTATGATGTGAGGGAAGAAAATGATAAAATTCAAAAAAACAAAAGTTTACGTATCCGGTGTTGAGATTGATCAGGTCCATTGTGGATTCAATGACTGAAGAAACTTTCGTATGCAGAGTTTGGGATTTAACTTGTGAAGAATCTGGATCACAAGCTAACTCGCAAACTAACCAAAATACGCGGGAATCTTGCTAAAAGAGTACGAATCGAACTTTTTCAGACTGTAAAAGTAATGGCAATCCACATGTTAATTCCTGAACTCTGCATACAGATGTTTGTTCAGTCACTGAATCTATAATGAACCTGATCTATCTCAGCACCGGATATGTAAATTTCTGTTTTTTTAGTTGCATTATTTTTTTCCCTCACCTGGTACTAAATTTCTGTTTGATTTGCCGTGTCATGGCACCTATATAATCTGAAAATTGTATTTAATCTGAAGTAAAGTAGTGTTGATTACTTTCAAACTGTTGAAATT